CCCCCCCCCCAGTTCTCCTCTCTCATGTAGGTTTTTATTTCAGAAGTACTAGAAGCTTTAGTTTTTTATTTTTTAAGCTTAGCCCGTGAATATTTAACAACTTCAAAGCAAACGCAGTGAGACAGAACCTTGAGTATTAGCCAGACTTGACAGTGATGTGTGCCAGTATTGAACCGCTCTCTACCAAATAATTCAATCATACAAAAAAATTAGTTTACTTAATTCCAGATCTCTTTGCTTATAAATATATATAAATACATACTTACATATATCTCTTATTTGTATTTGTTGTCGTTGTGTTGAACAGTTGTTATCAAGTGGAACATCTGAGCTTTTTTTGTTGTTGTTGTTAGTTTTAGTCTGACACGTTGAACTGAGGAGACTTGGATTTTGCACTTGGGTGGATTCTAGAGGAAAAAGGCCGAAAGCAAAGCTGAGACAGATTTTTAGATTTTCAGGTCTCTCTGATGGAGAAGGTGCGCCTGTGTGTATTCGACAGGGTAGAGTGTGTGCGTGCGCACGCACGTGTGTGTGTGTGTGTGTACTGTGATTTGAGAAGATGGTGCTTTATTGGTCTCCCTTGGTTGGTGCACCTCCGGCTCTGAGCTGGGCCTGAATGTAGCTGAAACGGTTTGTAAAAGTATAAAAGACAGCGCAGCCTCAAACGTGCATGATGAGGGGCAACAAAAAAAATTTGTAATTTTTTTTTTTTTTTTTGAGAAATTGAGCAGCAGTCACTGTTGCCGTGGTGTCGCTTGACTGAAACGAGGCGAGGAGGGGACGGGACTCGCGATTGGCTGCTTCTTCCTGGCTTTTCAGGGATAAAGGGTTGCACTTTTGCCTCCTCGCCGGCTTATCCAGGATCAGCTCCTCCTCTCCAACTCCTAAGCTTAACTACAGGGAGAGGAGACTCATAACTGACAGGAGGTCTGAGGCGGGGGGAGGGGAGGGTGGGCTCTCAACTGTCTATATTCCCTTACTGCTCAATGACATTACTTTACACTTTGTTCATTCTGATTTTTGGCAGCGCTGTCGTTCCTGGCGCTGATTTGAGAGCAGCTTTGTCCATCCTCAGTATCCTTTTTTCTTTTAACTATTACCGGGACAAAGGCTGACCCCAGATCAGCAGCTCAGGTGGCAGCATTGCTGTGCTGTTAGAGAAGGGACAAGCAACGTCTGGAAAACGCCTCTCAATAATGTCGTTACTGTTTTGGTTCCATAATCGTGTTTGTATCTACTGTCAGCCTGCGTGAGAGTGTGTGTGTGTGTGTGTGTGTGTATGTGTGTGTGTGTGTGTGTGTGTGTGAGTGAGTGAATACATCATCATGCCAAATCGAGGGAGGGAAGGAAAGGGATAAATCCTTTTTTGTTGTTGTTTGGTTGTAGTTGTGTACGTGTGCATACGTGTACTTAAAAAGCTGGACAATATTAAATGCTTGAAGATTAAAAAAAATAAAAAATTTAAAAAGTCATTTGCAAAAGGATGATGTGAGGAAAACCTTTTTGGTAAAGTGAAAACCACCACGAGCAATGTACAATCCCCAGGGCTGCCAAGCAGCTTCCCGACAGGGCCAGACGAGGGGAAGGAAAGGAAAAGGAAGTAGCGGGCAGGAGGGAAGCTGGCTGGTGATACTCTACTACTTTTTAATGTTTAAGAAAAAAAAA